AAGTAGGACATCTGCTCATACTTTCACCTCTCCCCAAAGGCTGGCAGGAAGCAGGGGGAGCCGTGGCGTCCAGCCCAGGCAGTCACAAGTGTGTTCAGGTCACAAGCCACCCACTCAACTGCTCTCAAGTAAACTCCGTGTATTTTCAGGGGAGTGGTGCTCTTTGTTCTTTCTTTGTTTATACATTTCTCTTCTTTCAAGAGAAACTTTCCAAGAAGGCAAGCTGCATCCCTTGAAAATGTAATTTTAAGCATCTAGTATAGCAATACAAATGATATCCAGTAAATTTTGAGAAAATAGCATTTTCATTGCCAATGGGAGTCAAGTAGAAGAAGTGCTCCTTTAGCAACTGATCAGCCTCTTAAAGAATGATAAGAGTTTGCAAACCTCAAGGCCCTGATCCTTCCTGAAAAGCCATGCCAGATCAAAGGCAGTATCCTGAATTGCACTGGGGGAATGTAGCATGAGGGGAGAAGCAGAGAACAGAAAGGGGCAAGCTCAGCCAGTCATGTCTCTACCTGAAAGCAAACTCTTTTCTTTAGCAGCCTCTGAGAGGAGACTTGCACACAGCCTCTTGTGCCAACCGTGGAAGACACAGGTAACTGAGGATGGGCCACTGAGGCCACGTATGTCCTTCCAATAAGGGCAAAATCTAAGCGCATCCTCTGGTAGGTTTTCAGCAGACATTTGCTGTAGGTGTACCATTTGTTTCTCCTGTTCAGCACAACTACTGCCCTCAGTCCATTCAAAGCAGGAGATGATGAACAGCTGTCATCACAAGTCCTCCAGAATTTCTGCACATTTTCTCCCCAAAGATTTATCACCTAAATTCAAGGCACCCTCAGAGAAAGTGTCTTCTGTCGCCCAAGTAATTGAGAGACCCAAAGGGCACAAGCCCCCTGGCAATGCTTCCTTGCACAGCCGTCTTCATCAGCAGGAAGAGAATCCCTGGAGCACAACCAACACAGGTCCAGGGTGAGGGTGCTGAGCCCTTGAAACATCACCCAGCTCTCCTGCTTCCTCTGCCCTTCACCCATCAGGGCCACCCAGAAGAAGGGCAATGCTAAACCTCCAGGAGAAGCCAGATGGCAACCCTGCTATTTCTCAGAGTTCTGGGATTCCACTCCCACCCATCTGTACATCTTTAAAGGCCTGCATCTCATGGGGCGGGGGGGGGGAGCTAACCCAGAAAATTCAACTTTTACCTGTCATTGTAAAATGCAAAGGTTGCCCACAGCAGGTCAGCTGATGCTTTCACTCTGGCCAAAAGGGCTCTTAAAGCAGCTGCTCCCTGGGAGCTGTCAGCAATGGCGTCGGCGGCAGCTGCAGGGACTCTCCTGGAATCCTCCTGCCCGGGGAGGCCCTCCCTCCAGGGCCGGCCCTGCTAGCACAAGCCCAATGACTGGTCCAGGGGCAAATCTTTGAGTTGACACAGTCGCCTAGCAGCGCACTTGCTTCCTAGTTTCCGGGCTGCTCTGAGGCTCCGCCTCTTTCTCCTGGCCGCCCAGACGGGGCGGGGAGGGCAAACAGCAGCTTCTAGCAAAGAAGTCACTGTCCGGAGCCGGCTGGTATGAAGAATGGAGGCTTGGACCTTCTCTGGGTACCTCTCCCAGACGCCTCGGACGGGAGGTGGGCAGGTCATGCCCACCCTACGCCGAGCTCGGGCTTAATGGCTGAAAAGAGCAGCGGCCTTTGTTGGACAAGTTCTTTCTCCGGCCGGGATTTAATACCACTAGCCTAGAGCTCGGTTCCGCCCATCCTTGACCGCTAGAGTCTCAGTCCATCCTGGCAATTGTCTTGGAGGGAAAGGAAGCCTCCCGGCTCTGCCAGGAATCACTGAGCAACGCTGTGAGGAGGAAGAGGGGTCCACTTGTAGCGAATAGCTCAGCTGTGGGTGGTGAAGGTGAAACTCTCCTTCATAGGTGAAACTCTGTTAGGGATCGGCAGAAACTTAAGGGAACCGAGGCAGAAATACGCATCTGCGTGGTGAGGAGCACCAGTCATCTATTGCCAGTCAAGGCTAAGCACAGAGCGCGCAAAAGGGAAGAGCCCCAGTCAGTCAGGCCAGCTTTCCGGCCGCGGCCGGCTTGGTTCGGACTCGGGAGGCGCGTGCACAGGCTGGCAGCCGGGCCAGCTGCTTCCGGCCAGTGGCGGGAGTGGCGATGCGGCTGCTCCGGGCGCCTTCGCTGGCGGGGGCGGAGGCTCGCTTGTTTCCGAACTGAGCGCGCAGGGCGGGAACTCGGCAGGTGCCGCAGGGAGAAGCGCCCCCGCAATGGTTCCAGCGCTCCGCAGCCCTACCCAGCCGGAAGCCTCGCCCGGGGCGGGAGATCCGAGGAAGTAGCCGGGCCGCCGACGGTCGCGGGCGAGAGGGGCCTCTCAGTCCCCCGGCCCGTCAGCTCCCCCCGCCATTCAGACCACCCGGGCGAAAGCGAGAAAAGGGAGGTGTGCATTTCCCGGGCTGGTTCTTGAGCTCCGCGAGGAAGCCCCCCAAGAGCAGCTTCGAGCCCGGGGCTCCGGCGCGGCTGTGCCGTCCTCATTTCGCTGCAAGGGGGCGAAACGGGCTCCGGAGCGCTTGGCACTGGCGAGCGGCATCAACTTGAAAGCCCTTCAACCGTCAGGCCATCGGCTCGGGGTCCGTGGAGCTGGAAGGAGAACCTCGCGGGCTGACCGTTCCCCGAGGCAGGAAGACCCTCTGCCCGCTCGGAAAGAGGCGGAGTTGGGCCAGAATACTGTATGACGAAATGAGCTAAAGGAGCCGCCCGGAAATGGCCTCCTCGGCTTTCTTTCTCCAAGCCTCCTCCCCGCTCATGAAGCTGGAAATGCAGATAGCTCTGGGCAGCCACCCTCTCTGAGACCCCTGAGGGAGGCCGAGACAGGCAAGGAGGGACCGGGGTTCCCCAGAAGCATTGGGGTGGCTAAGACCAAGCTCTTCTCCCGGCAGTTGGGAATTGGAGGCCTCCTACTGCCTCCCATCCTGGTGGAAAAGTTCTTAAGAGTCCCAGGGAAGAGAAGGAGAGGTCCCTCCCAAACGGATGCGGGATTCATGAGAGGCATTAAGCTCTCTCCTTCCTTACACCACTTGTCACCTTGGTTTTATATATCTTCTTCTTCAAGAACTATATTAACTCTGAGGACTGAGGCGTAGTCTCTTGTGTGTGTTGTGGCCAATCCTGGCTCATCTAAGGCAACCAAATCACTTTGAATAAAGAGCATAATTTTGTTAACATGCATATAATATAAACTGTTGTGGATTTTTGCCAAAATAAGAAGCACAACACTAGGGAGAAGAAAAGTGTTTATTGCAAGGATGATTGAGTCTCTGCATCACAAGAATGAGGGGCCCCATCTGTTTTTTAAGTTGTCTGGGGCCGGGTGGGTGGGTGTCAGTTTGGGTCTGAAGGGATTGGGCAAAGAGAGGACCTGGGTCCCAAGAGAGGACAGGGTGTGGGGAAAGGATGCCACCTCCATTTTGTTTGTTAGGTTGCTTTTCAGCACTACAATATTGGGCTCCCAGGAAAGATGAGCAGCCCTGAGCAAAAGCAGAGCCAGTGCTGATGGACCTTTGGCCTTCTATAGCCAGACAAAAGAGAAAAAAAGGCAGAGATGGTGGAAATGACAAAGTGCTGTTAGAATATTTGAGATAAAACCATCCATGAAGATTTCCTGTTATTTTTCCCTTCCTGTTAGGTCACTTGCTGGCCATATTATCGTTCAGAAGAGTGAACAGACCACAGATTCCTGACTGAGTCTTTTCCCTATCACCACTCTGGTCAATTCAGCTTGCTGTGAGAGTTTCTTTTACAAGGGCTCTTTATAAGAGCTCATATGTATTGGGGACGGGGGACGACATCTCGTAGGTTTGGTAGTGAATGTAGCTGATGTGTGTCTAGGAGGGGGTCATATCTTTTACAGTCACAACACCTACACCTGGTAATGATTTCTTGCCCCCCCAAATTATACCTCAGAATAAAAAAAAAAACTAAAGATGTTGCCTCAGGCAGAGGAGCACCATAAATTAAGCAAGGGGGGGTGAACCGCCTGGCCAAGAAGAGCACGAGATCTCTGGACATCCTTTGGCCTGGCTGCTGGTCTGGGAAAGGCTGCCAGCTGCAGAGAGTCAGGAAAGGGAGGGGGCACTGAGCCGAGCAGGATGCAGCTGCTCCTCCACCATCTTGACTTGGCATCTGGTCCATCTGAGCCACAGCGAGGACAGGTGCTCGTTGCTTATTATAGATAAGGTGTTAAATTGGGCCAGGAAGGGATTCAGTAATAAGGCCTTAGAAATGCTGCTCTCCTCACGCTCCAGTAAAAAGCTCGGCTCCTGCAGGGAGACCTCTGCCTGGCAAGGGGACCAGGAAGTGAGCGTGCGAGTGAAGAAGAGCAGCTGAGGGGGAGAATCAGCAGCATGGGGGCACTTCTTCATCAGCTTGCTCACCGAGCAAGGGCAGCCTAAAACCGTGAGACCATGCAAAGGAGACACCACCTCCCGGCTCTCGAGGCATCGCTGCACATCTGCTCTGTTGTCTTGCCAGGAGGAGACCTGGAGAAAGACCCATGTCCAGGTGCAGCCACCCTCAGTCCTGAAGCACTGAAGAACCACTAAAGAGGGTAAGGAAACCACACTGAGCTCCGCTGGGCCTCCAAAAGGCCCCTTCTCCAGCAAAGCCTGCCTCCCTCTCCACAGGGATGCATCACAGAAACCAGTATTCAGCAGAGGAGCACCTACTGGTTTCAAGATGCAGTTAAAGCAGACCCAGCTTCCCACCCTGGCCTTCAGTCCTCTCTTTCTCCTCTACTTTCTGAGGGAGGAAGGCAGCATTTCCAACTGACACCCCAATATGATGATATTTAATTGTCAGAAGGAGAACCAGGTCTTTGGTCTCGTGCCCATTCCTGCAGCTACAGGGCTTCTTGAAACCAAAGCCCAGTCTGAACCCAGAACCCTGCACCCTTCAGACATGAGCAGCGCCAGGCTTGATATCTGCAGACTTTCTCCCAAGAAGCAGCACTTTTTTGCAGCCAGTTGAGTAACATAGTTGTGTCTCAAGCGTCAGTCCTTTGAAAGAGGGTTGTCTCCTGCCCTCGCCAGAGCCTGGCAGATCAATCTGGAGGGTTGGATCCCAGAGATCTGCCCTTCGTGGAGTCAGGCCTTCGGGGCTGATTTAGAGTCTATTTTGGAGCCTGGCAGCCCATTCTCCGTGTTCTCGATCGCTGAAGAGCTCACCAGGCACTCCCTGCAGGAGACAGAGAACAGACTGGCTTAGTCCTGCTTCATACTGGGGGTCCCAAGCAGAGGGGCTGTCCTGGGGGCTGCTGCTCCTTCCCATGCCATTCAGTGGGAAGGAAAGGCCTCTCAGGAGCTCCTCTGCCTGGAGGAGTCTGCAATGGCAGGAGGGCCAGCAGAGCCTGCTCCCACACCAGACCTCCTGCCTGGAGAACCAGATGGCTGTCGCTTGAAGACTTGCTACTGAGCCAGCCACAACTGGCCCAAAGAAGGCCGCTTGCCCACACTCCATTCAAGGCAGCACAAGCACACTCACTTCTGTTTCCGTGTCTTCTTGAGGATGAAGAGGACCAGTTTCTTGGTCAGCATGATAAGGATGAGGAGCCCAATGACACCACCCGCAACAGACAAAATGATCAGCGTCAGTGTGTTGTCAACCTTCTCCACTGGGGGAGGCAGAGAAGGCAATGAGGGCCATGGAGAAAGGAGCCCCCTGCCTCAAGCCACAGACTTCCCCAAACCCAAGCTCAGCAAGCCAATGGCTCGGAGGAAGGCCCGTTCCCACAACCCCAACTATGGAGCTGAGAAATGCAGTCCTGCCTCAATCGGTTGCCTCTAACTGTGCACGACCGAACCAAGGCCAGGGTCCATTGCCCAGCTGCTACTCACACATCACAACCACTTTGAGAGTAAAGGTGCCACTGTGGTTGGCATCCTTCTCTTTGGGGTTCTTGACCAAGCAGGTGTATGGCCCGGAGTCCTCAAAGTCAGCATCAAGCAACAGGAGGGAAACGTTGAACTCCCGGTTGTCCTTGCTGAGTGGCAGGTCAGGTGGCAACATGTGCTTAAGGTTGAACTTGTACTCTGGATGAGGCTCTGGCTTGGAGTCTTTGTTCTTCACGACCCCTTTGAATATCTGCAGCAGGTGAAGAGCAGTGAGTGAAGGCATGGCTCCCTAAACTTTTCCCCAAGGTGGAGTCAAGGTGCTGTCCAAGAACTACCTGGCGCAGCTCACCAAGCATCTTCTCAGCAAAGTGCTGAGAAGGAGTCACAGTGGGTGAGGTTGAGGGAGCTGTCCCCACTCCTCCTCCCCTGCTGTGCAGACGGTGGCGCTTGGGCTTCCTGGCAATGTAGACTTTTCCGTAAGGACCCCACATTTCCCCCTCCACACTTGGACCCTGTTTCTTGGGAAATGGGCCATACAAGGGGGAATGCTGTGCCTCTCTCAGAACTGGGGAATTAGACTGCTTCCATCTGCATCCACAAGCCCTAGAATGCAGGGAGTAGACCCTGCTCCTTTGCAGTTTCTGGACTACACTGTAAAGAAGGAACAGAGGAATCGTCCATGCTCTCTAGCTGTTCTCCAAGCAGACCAAGTAACAGAATCAGGCTCTGTAGGGCTGGTAATAGAGACAGCCAAGACTGAGGATTTGGGAGAATCTCTTTCCTTGCTACTTATTAAATGTGAAGGCTTGTTGTCATTACATTACATTATCATTAATAAAAGCACCAACAATCATGATACCTTAAAGAATAAGGAATTTATCTCATAAACTGAATAGTATAGGTAGACCTTGCTTAATGACTGCCTTGTTCAGCGACTATTCAGAGCTACAAAGGCACTGAAAAGTAACTTTATGATCAGTCCTCAACACTTACAACCATGGCAGCTTTGCTTTTGCAAATGTCTCAGCATCCCACGGTCACATGATTTCCATTTGCATGTTTCATAGCCAGCTTCTGACAAGCAGAGTCAATGGAGAAGGTAGCAATAAAATCGCAAGCCATGGTCACATGGTATCTTATCAACCACATTATTTAATGATGGAGCTGCCGGTCCCATTTGTGGTTGTTAAGCAAGGACTATCTGTCAATCCATTCATCTTCAAGATGCCATAAGTGTCTCTGCTTTCTGCTTGGAATCTAGTTTCATTGAAACCTCTAACATTCCAACCAAGCAGCCTATCAACTTCCCTCCCAGCCCAGCCCATTGTCAATCACAGTAGAACACGCACTTCAGTCTGATTGTGGCTCCATATGAAGTTGGCTTTCTCAATGCCGATGCAGGAGTTGAAAGTACAAGGCAGTAGCACATTGGTGCCATTCTTGGCATAAATAACAGGTGCCTTGCCCACTGACACCTCCAACGCCAGTGTCTGAGAACACAGCTGAAGTCCTAAGGAGGAAAGAAAGAAAGAAAGAAAGAAAGAAAGAAAGAAAGAAAGAAAGAAAGAAAGAAAGGATGCTCAGAGTTGAGTCTCTGCTTACAAAAATGGGCAACACCCCCCCTCCTGGATTTGTGTTGCTGCTTTCCCAACACAGCCATGGCAAGGAACTGAAAACCTTCTAAACAGAGGAAGGCAGAGAGACTTGTGGTCCATTTTGCCTAGAGTTTGCTGTTGCTACCTATAGTTCTCCTACATCTTGGCAGGGTTGTTTTTATCTGACTTGACTTTTTTGGATCAGATGGACTCTTTTCACATCAAGTGTGTGTTCTTGCCTTATTTGAAGGGGGCTTGCCCAATGACCACATAAAAAGGTCATAGCAAACTGAACAAACAGCTTCCCATGTACATGTGGACCTTGGTTCTGCAAAGCCAACTTTGGCGGGGGGGGGGGGGCGAAGAGCCATCATCCCTAGTAGCCAGCAGCCACAGATAACTTTGTTCTTCAGCTTGCTTCCTGATCCATGGCCTACAGGCTCCATCCAACCACTTTACTCCTCTTGAGCAAAACAGAATTGATCTCATAGCACCAACTCAGACCATTAGGAAAGCAGAGCAGTTCAAGCACAATGAAGGTGCTGGAAGACCTGGTCATGCCCTACTTTCTCAAATTTCCAGATGATGCACCAAATGGTCCAAACATGTTGGACCAACATGTTCTTACACTGGACCAGATGTAAGAACATGTTTATCAGAAGAACTGGATCTTTACTGACATCATAAATCAATTTATAAAATAAGGAGCCTCTATACCCTCAACTGAAGATGCAACAATTGGGCAAATTAAGCAGAATGCCGAGAAGGTCCCAATTCAGCCAAAGTATGTCTTCCAAGGATGCTACCAACCAAACAGAATTGTCTGAAGGGAAGGATGACTCTACCTCTTGTAAGCCAATAATAGAGTTATGGGTCTCTTTGAAAATGGTGACTGTTCAAACTTCTTAGATGGCCCACTTTCCCCCCTCTTTGCAGCATAACATACAGACTAAGTTCACAGGACATGCTAGACAAGCTAAAACAAATTGGCATTTTGTATGAAGTAGGTTAGGGGACCCAGTTGCAATTTCAGCTCTGATTCCCAGTTCAGACATCTAGGTCCCACATATGCCTAAAAAAGAAGGCTTCTTTATGTTGTGATCCATGAAACTTGGCCAAGGGCAGCTCTCTAGAGCCCATGAAATGGCGGAAGAGCAGAGTTCCTGGAGCAGGTGCAGTGGGGGGGGGGTTGCTACAGAGAAGAGTCAGCTGTGTTCTTTCATGGCTCAAGGACACTCAGGGGCTTAGCTCCTGTTTACATTCTCTTCCAGCACCTCCTCCAAGCCTTCTTACATGTGTCCAAGTCAGCCCAGTTCTTGGCAGGACTGGCCAGCCAGGTCACCCCATCGACAAGGGGGCTTGGGACCATGGCCTGAGATGGGTGCAATCCCCATTCCAGACATTGGATTGCTGTGTGTCTTGAACTAAACTTGTTTGTGGCATGATCACAAATGAGGGCAGCCCTGGAAGAATCCCCTCCCTAAGCATTGTCAAGCTGGGTTCCATGGGAGGGAATGGCAGCTGTCCACCAGGAGCCCCTGCTATCTGTGCCAGGGTGTGCTGCTCTCCTGCCTGCTGATCAGAAGCACATAGGTGCATGGTCAATCCACCCCATCCTTGTAACCTAGCCAATGCCTAGAATTCAAAAGCAACACACCCAAGGAAGGGAGACCATGGGGTCAGTTGGGAAGGGCAGGCCCAGGTTCAAATCCACTCTCAGCCATGGAAACTCCCTGGGTAACTTTGGCCCCATCATTTTCTCTCAGCCCTCCCCATGAGGTAGCTGCTATGGGAATAACCTGAAAGAAGAGACTCAAGGAAGCTGTCTTCAGCCCTTGGAAGAAAGACAAGAGATGCCTCTACCAAACAAAAGGAATATAGACTCAGATCCACCCATCTCACTCCCTGAGCCAATGGCAGTTTCTCCATTTCTGCCCCAAAGGGAACCTGACCCCAGAGCAACTCAGGTGCGTCACCATGGATAGAGCTGGTGTCTCAAGGAAGAGAGCTCACTCAGACTCAAGGGGGAAGCCTCCACTGTCAAAGGCAAAAACTGCCTGTCCAAAAACCAAGAGCCTCTTCACCTCTGGCTCAACTTTCCAGTGGGTTCAGCCTCCTTTGGCAGTCACTGGTGGGAGGCACCAGCCCAGTGCTAGTCCTTGCTCAGAGAGTCATCCAGTCTGCTCCCCACAGCACCAAAGATTCTGCAAAGCCATGGAGCTCTGAATATTTTTGGCCCAGATGCAGGTAAGGTGGAAGCATTAACAGGGATTTGAATGGAACAAGACCTCTGCAAGGTGCCAAACCCTTGAATGGGATCCAGCTGATTGGCCAATGCAAGCTGGCACCCCAGGAGCCTCTGGTTTCTCTGGGACTCCTAAAGCAGAGCAATTGTCAAGCTCTAAAGGGGGGTATCTTACACAACTGACCCAGGGAGGAAAATGGGAGGGGGGAGGCTTTGTAATTAAAGTTTTTCAGAAGTAATTATCAGACACTACATTATTGGACTACAGGTATTTGCCATTCAGAAAACAAAATAACTTAGGGATGATCTTGCTAACAATAGTAGAGTGATTTTTTTCCCCTTTTCCTTTTTGCAAGAGCTCAATTAAAATTGCATTCTCAGTAGGGGAACAGAATTCATTTAAATTAGGGGGACTACAAGGCCCATCTGATTCTCCTGAATGCATGCCATCTTGCGCTTGCTCCAGAGAAAGGACTGAGACTAAAGGAACTGGCATCCTTCTGACTTGTTCAGGGGTCTTGGATGGGATACTCACATTCCAGGGAAAGAAAACAGCATCAGCTGTAAAGACGGGGAAGGGAAGGTGCCTCGGATCCTCTTCTCTGAACCTCTCAGAGCAACCGGGAGATTCAGCACCCACCCCGCACCCCACTTTCAAGAAGTTCAGCGCGAACGGCCACAAACTCTAAAGCAAACTTACAGCGATGTCGTACTTACTTCACGGGCGTTGTTTAGGATTCTACTCGAATCTTTAAAAAGATATCCGGGAGAGGGAGGGGGAAGAGGGGGGAAGAGGGAGAGGAGGCACGCAGAAGAGACTGCCAGCTGGAGCAAAAAGTCTCCCAACACGCTACAGCAAGTGCGGAAGAACATGCCGGTCCCGCGCTTCCCCTAGCCTGCCCCCGACCTCGCGCAGGGACGGCAGCCGGGCGGAGGCGGGACGGGGCCAAGTGAACTGCAGTTGTGGCGCGCGCCAGTGGAACGGGGAAGGCAGAGGTTCCCCCGCTTTCTATCCGAGCCCCGCGCCCTGCTAAGTGAGCGCGGACGGGTCGGGGTCGGTGGGCTCGGCCCCCTGGTGACCGACGGTTCCCCGAAGCTCAGAGCGGCTCCGCGTCCTTACCCAGCAAGGCGACTCCCAGCCAGTCCAAGGCCATCTCCGCAACTACTTGGCCGCCTCTTTCCTCTCCCGTGCACGCCGCAGTCTCTGACTCCCGAAGTTGCTTTCGCGACAGACCAGCCGCCGCAGTTGCCGCTTCTGGCTCCTCGCACGGGCCGCCCCTTCCAGCAGCCGGCAGCCCAAAAGGCAGCGAGAGGAGGAGGAGGAGGCGGACACTCCCGGAACCGCCTCCGCACTGATGCCAGGCCTCCCGCAGAGGCGCGGAGAGCGCGCGCAGCCTCGTCATACCGGGCCTGGGGAGCAGCGCCGTCCTCCCCGAAGGCCGTTGTCCTCCTGCCGCCCGCAGCGCCGGATAGACGGCTGGAGCAGACGCGCCAAGCCCTCCCAGCGTTGGCTGCTTTGAATTTACCCCGCCGGGATGCAGTGTTCCCCTGGTCTGTTCCCCCAACCATGGTTAAGCAAACTGTGGGTTGGCCGGTGCGCACACTGCTGAATTAGGCCTTGGGAACTTCCAAGCATTCAACAAAGGAAGCTTTTGGGGGTGAAAAAGGGGCAGGCGAGGTGACACCTTTATCTGTTTACTAGAATAGGAAGGAAGCCCTGTTCAGCTTGGCTCTTCCCAGCCCTGAATCCCCCGCAGGGCAATGGGGAAGCTACAGATATCTCTCCAGTGGGATATGTGGGGGGTTGAGAAGGTTTCCCCGGATGGTTAGACAGGCGGTGATTCGAACTTTTGGAGCAGGGGAAAGGAAAATCAGGTGAGGGGGGTAGCAAAGGGGCACAGAGAAGATTCTTTCTCACATACAAAGGAGAAGTCACTGCTGAAGCAGCAGGAGGGAAGACCTTGTGCTGATTAAGGAAGGACTTCTTTCACTTTTGGGGTGCTGGGATCTTGCTGCCAATTTTGCTCAGCCAGCTTTAAGGACAGGTTGGGCTCCAGCATCCCACTCTCTGAGAAGAAAGGAAAAGTTCCTGGCTGAAGGGGCAGAGCTGTGGGGCAGGGCAGAGGATGCCAGTCTTGGGGGGGGGCATCCTGAACCATGGGCTGGGTTCTGCTGATGTGGCAGGTAAATGGTGCGGAGATGCTGCGGTAGTGGCAGCTTCTGAAGCTCCCAGAGAATCATGACTCAGGGATTGTGCAGTGAAAGATCAAAAAAAAAAAAAAGCTGTAAAGGTGCCAGAAATTCTGGGCAGCAGCCTAGGGGTGGGGGGTGGGGATGAGCAACTCTTACTGCATGGGAGGAGGGGAATTCTTTTTCCATGTCTCTGTTGCGGATGACCATTGCAGAAAGTCAGGGGCACTAGGCCAAGAGCCTAGCCCCATTGAGGCCAGCTGGACTTCAGCCAGGAGCTGGCCAGGACTCTCCAGAGGAGAAGAGGCCTTCGTGCTCCCCATGCAAAGAGGCGTTTTATTGGTGCCAGGGAGCCTCAGCGCTCAAAGAGCGAGCACCGGAGAGAAATCCCAGCGCTCGCTGGAGAAGCTTGGCTTCCTGCTGCCGCAGCAACGCAACCTTGCTCCGTTTCTCCGACGCTCTTCTGTTCTTTTCTGCCGCTTGTACCCCTCCAGGGAAGGAAGCCGGGAGGGGGCAGTTTATCCCCAAGGCCTCACAGCTATCGGTCCCGCAAAGCTTTCTGCGGCTCTGCGAAGCCTAACGGCAGCACGCAGCCTCTCCGTGTTGGCGCCGGCGAATTCTTATGAAGACTTCGCCGAGGAAGTCCGGTGGCTTCCCTGAGGCCGAAAAGGGCCCTCGCAGGAGAGGGAGGGGCAGGTGGCCTGGCTCTCTGGCAGCCAAGCCCTCTCCCGCGGAGGCGATCCTCTCTCTCTCAGGCTGTCCCCGCCTTCGCAGGTGCGCGGCTGCGGCCGGCCGCTTGTCCTCCTTGTACCCTCTCGCTCTCAACGAGCGATCGTCGGGCGCAGAAATAGAGGGCCCGGGAGCGCGCCCGGCTGGCGCGAAGCAAACTGCTGGCTTAGCAATCTTCCCTTCCCGGGGGGGGGGGCGGAAAGCAGGGCGTCCCGGAAGAACTGCTCGTCCTTGGATTTCAAGCTGCTGTCGAGGCTGAGGAGTTGGGTTTCTCCGCCTCCGGGGGGGGGTGTCTTTCCAGAGGACAGCAAGCACGAGTTGACCAGGCGCTTTGCACACGCCCCAAGAACCTCTGCGGACGTCCTCTGCCCTGGGACACCCAGCTCTCTCTGCTGGCCGCCCACTCGGCTTGAGCGGTCTGCTGCTTCAGCCTCTCCTCCGCTGGCTCCTCCGCACTCGCGGCATCGCTTGCCCCCCTCCCCAAAGGCCTCTTCCCGCTGACCTCACCCGAGCGCGGGGAAGTTTCAGGGCCAGACAGCCAGGTTTCCTCGGGGGCACTGCCGGTTTTTGAAGCCAGTTCTCTTCCGCACCAGGCAAGAAAACGGGCTCTTTCAGGTTAGGGGACGGTTCGCGTTTCTGGGCTATTTGGAGGGCAGGACGCGAGGTCGGGGCAGGGAGCTTTGATTGTCCCTTTCTTTATTTCGAAGTTTCTCCCGACCAGAAAGGGTCTGGCGCGCGCGCACTCGGACGTCCTGCTCCGAAGCCCCTCAAGGGAGGCTGAGAAGCGCAACGAGGCCGCTCTCTCCGGCCGCCAAGGGAGATGCTTGCAGACGCCCGAGGGACACCGCCCCTCGGAGAAACTCCTGAGAAAACCCGACCTAAGCCAGCGCTTCGTGTTCCCGGCCAAAGGAGTTCGGAGCCATAGCGGCTCTCGCTCTGCCGGGATCTCCCGCACCTGGGCTGCAAACCAGGTGGCCGCGTTTGCCTCCTGCTCCGCCGAAGTGTTGCAGCGGAGTTCTGGGAACCCTCCAGGAAAGAAGCCGCCGCCCGCCAGGAGCGGAAGAAGCGCGGCAGAGAAGAGGCACCTCTCGCGTGGTCCGCCGTTGGCCTGCCCAGGAGGGAGCCAAGAACCCCGCAGCTTTCGTCCGCTGTCGGTCGGCCCGAGCGGGTTTGTAGCTCCAGCAAGGACCGCTATACAGTCTGCGGGAGAAGTCCTGCCCTACTTCTTTCCTTCCCGCCCTTCTGGTTGCAGACGCTCAGCCCCGGTGGGATGGAGGAACAGAGAGGCGCCCCCGCAGCCTCAGGCGGCCCTTCTTGGATGGGCCGCTGCAGAACTTACTCTGGGCCGAGGAAGGCCCTGATCCGGAGCAGCCGGAGGCGCAGCAGCATCCAAGGAAAAGGAGAAACCGGGCCCAGCAGCTCAGTCGGCTCTGGTCCTCGGGGGCGGCCAGCTACCCGCCCAACTAAAGCGGGGTCTGTAGCATGTTAGTGCTCCTTCCGGGGTATCCGGCTTTTTTCCCTAGCTCTCCGACGCCAAGATTCTGTGGCCAAATTACCACGTTGGCGGGCCCAATCCACGGGCGCTGCGGATACTCAGGGTCACAGCTGAGACCAGGCACTTCCTGAGCGCCTCCTTCACCTCCAGGCCGGATAGCAGGTTTGCTCACCCAAAGGGGCGGCGGATTCCTTTGCCTGGCCGAGGGCTGAAAGAGAAGAAACCTCTGCAGCTACGCTAGCCTCCCGGCCAAGAAAGGGAGCCAAGATTGAGGGAGGCTGCGGGGAGGGGGGGCTCACTCAGTCTCTCGCCTTGGGCTTTAGTGCATCTTGGGAAGGGATTCAATCCCTTTCTCGAGGGAGGGAGGGAGGGAGAGACAGCAGCCAGCGGCCTCTGCAATCTCCCCAGTGCCTCTTGCTGCAGTACCGGCTTCCGGCAGTTTCGACTTTTGTCCCGGCTATTCTCTTCCTCGGCACCCGAGACGGCTCCCCTCTGGAAAGGCTTTCAAGAGTTGTGTAAGTACTGAACCCCAAACTACTTAACCTGCTATAAAGTGGCAGGCAGGGGTGGGTGGGAGTCTTTCAGACCCTCCATCTGTGCTAGGAGGTTCAGGTCGGTGACCCTAAGTTTCAAAGAGCGTCACCCCACAGCCTTCCTTGAGGCCCCAATGCACAGGCATTCTGGGCCAAAAGCCGCTTCAGAGGTCCTGATTGCCCCGGGTTCCCCTTCAACAGCAATGCAAGCAGCTTCTGCTCTCAGCCCCCTTCAGATCCGCTGGCTTTGAATCCAGCTGGTCTAGTGGAGAGTGGCTGAAGAAAGGGAACGGCCACTCGCCCATTGGAGAGACCTTTTTCCTCAATTGAGGAGGAAGGGGCAAGTCAACAAACAGCCCCCTTCCCTCCCTTTTCACCGGTAGGAATAAATAGGGAAGAAGAAGGCCCATGGGGTGCGTCAGGATGGGGAAACAGAGAGGACTTGCTCCAGGGTCCCATCCCCCCAGGGAAAGAAGCAGAGGTCTGCCTGTGTTGAGAGGCAAGCTCTGCTTTATTTTGGGTGACTGTTGGACTTCCTGAGCAGACCCAGGATAAGCAATATTGATGTCCATGCAAATGGAGGTCACCTCAATTCTGCAGTTACAAAAAGAGTGATGAAAACTTTTCAGGTTGAGACTTATCAATCTGAATGGCAGATTTTGCAAAATAAGGACAGAAAGGTAGCATAACCCATCTCAGCAGAGGGCAGGTGTTGGGAACATGGCAGGAGGCGGGGGTGGTGGTGGTGGTGAGGGGGGCGGTTTGCAATCAACGGACAGCAAAGTGCAATTCCAAGGAGAAGCAGCAGAGCCAAAGACATCAGCACAGTCAGAAGCCAACCGGGGAATCACTTGCTCTCACCCCCCAGGGAGCATCCTAGGAAAGGAGCCGCCTTCCCAGAGCTTGTTCAGGGGTTGCTGAGTGGAGAATCCCAGCAGCGGAAATGGGGGGGGGATGGAGACCTCCAGGGCCATTCTTGCTTTGAGGTTCTAACTAGCAGGAAAGATGTAAGCAGAGAAAGCAAAGACCAGTTGGCTGCAGTGGGTCCAGGTGGAAACTCTTCCACTAAGTCCCAAACAGACAACCTTCCTTCCTTCCTTCCTTCCTTCCTTCCTTCCTTCCTTCCTTTCCTTCCTTCCTTCCTTCCTTCCTTCCTTCCTTCCTTCCTTCCTTCCTTCCTTCCTTCCCCCTCAGATCATACATGTGCACTTGCACACACCTCCTGCTTATGCCAGGCAGAAAACCTTCAGGGTTTTTCATGAGAGGGGTGCGAGGGTCAACAGCACTCCTTCCAAACAATCCAGCAGTGGGTTTGCAAGAGGGGGGGGGTGCAGTGCTGTCCTGCAAGAGAGATGGCTGCTGGCCCATGGCAGGCAGTGAATTCTCTTGGCAGTGGCGAGTTGTGCTTGGCATTCAAGGTGGGAAGTGAGAAATGGCAGTTTCTGCTTTGGAAGTTTCTCCCCCCTCCAGCTGTGAGCCCTCACCCCATCGGCTCCTAAGCCAGCTGCCTCCTCTCAGGCCCCTTCCAGCAGGGAACCCAGTGCTCCATGAGGAAAGGAAACAAACTTTCACCTCCCCAAGACTTGCCATGAAGGCAGCAGCAGCAGGGTGGAGGGTGGGGTAGGCCTTCTTGCCAGGGACATAAAGCAGGGCTTCTTCTGTCCAAATGGAGGAGCCACCTGTCTAGGACAGGAATACAGATTCATCCCAGGCAGTTTCCAGTTTCAGCAAAGTCCCCCCCCCCATAAAAACCCACTGCCAGCTGCCAGTCCCTGCTGTGCTCTGGCCCAAGAGCACCCTGGTGAAGAGGGAGAGAGAAAGTACCCCGGTCTTTCTGAGATGTTGGGTGGAGCTCTTTGCTTTCGAGAAAGTCCGTGGGAGAAGAGGCCAGGGACAAGGAGGAGCAGGGAGACCAGCCTGGGGGGAGAGTGCCCCTACTTCATGCCTTCCTCTGGGTTCCCTTCCCCATCTGTCTTGCCCTCTTCTTCAGTCTTCTGGTCATCCGTGTTGAGCCTCTGCTGCTTCTTGCGCCGGACACACTTAACAATGACCAAGGCGAGGATCACCACGGCAAGGAAGCCCCCCACAGTGGCCCCCACGATCACAGCCACAGTGGAGTCCCGCTCTGGGGGCTCTGTGGAGAGAAGCCCAGTATCAGGCAAGGCACAGCACCAGGGATCCACTCCCAGTAGCCGCAGCACAAGCAGCAGGAAAGGCCTCTTGGCCCTTGAGAGGGAGCTTTCCTTTTCCAGAAAACTGGGGAAAGACCCACCTGGGGAGGAGAGGATCCCCCCCCCGTGTCCCCCAGTGGGATTCTGGGGTCTTCCAGGAAAGGGATCAAGTGAGAAGGGAAGGGGGTGGAGCCACATCCTGACCTTCTGTGAGGACTTTGAGGCTGATCTGGCCATGGCCCTTTTGTCGGTCAGGCGGGTTCATCACGTAGCAGTTGTACAGCCCTGCATCTTCCAGCTGCACGTTATGGAGGGTGAAAGACACGTCATTCTTCCTGGGGTTCCCCGTAAACTCCACACGATCCTCAAAACGCTTCAGCTCCACAGGAACCACTTTCAGCTTAAACTGCAGGAACTGGAGAGGAGGGTGGACAAGAGTGGGAAAATCAGAAGAATTGCAAGGTCTTTGGGAGCACCCCACACTCCAGTCTGGCCCACTCTCTGGAATTCCTGGCAGTGGTGGGCAGAGTGGGAGGGAGCACAGGCAGAGAGCTTAGGAAACTTGGACAAGGGTCACCCAGTTCATGGTCCATGCCTCCCCCCACCCAGTGCTGCAAAGCGCAGAGTTCCTGCTGTGGAGGGTGAGGAAACAGGGTTTGGCTGCTAGCCAAATTTTGCTCACTGGCTCCCCTCCTCCTGACACAGTTGATAGGCCAAGAGGCACAAGCAGCATTCAAGCGTGGGGCACAGAGATTGTCCAGCCCTCCGGTCCAGATACTCACCATCTCTTCGGTGCAGTTCTGGCAGGTTTGGTAGGTCCAGTTCAGTGAGAACTGCTTCTTGTCTACCTGGTAGCAGGAATTGAAAGTGCAGCTGAGCCGGATGGAAGAGCCATTCAGAGCATAGACAGTGGCTGGGGCCATCAGCTCCATGCCCAGCGTGTTCAGCACTAACAAGGAGAGAAGAGCCCCCCCACAATGCTGTTATTCCTGTTTGCACTAAGACATACTGCAGATCCTTCCAACAGGGGGGCCCAACAGTATCCGGCTAAGTTTCCTACCTTGAGTGTATATTGTTGCAAACCTTGGAGGGCCCCTGGACATGCTGGCATTTACCACCCTTCAGGAGAGAGAGAGCAAGAATGATGGGAAATGGTGTGCTTTGGGGGGGAGTCCAGGGGAAGGCTGGTATGCTGAGCAATGCAGCCTTTCTTTTTCTTCATCCAGGTGGAGATGAATTCTCAGCTGTGCTCTTCCCCCCCACAAAAAAAAAAAACCCAGAAAGGAACTCCAAGATCTTTTGGAGCTCTTTGGAAGCACTGGGAGTTGCCAGATGCCCCTTGAGCAGCCATGGCGAAAGCAGCAGAGGGCTGCTAACGCAGCTGGAATCATAGGAGCATCCACAGAAGATTCCACTAGAAAAAAGTTGGATGCAGCAAGAAGTCCTCTAGTCCTGTATCTCTGGGCAGGCTGAGGCAGGAGTAGAGTACAAGAAAAAAACCCTCCCCACTCCAGTGAGTCTCCCCATGCCTGCACTGGGAACAAGAGGTCTCCTGCCTTTGGCTTTCAGATGCTCTTCATGTTGTCTTCAGCCAGAAGCCCTCAAACCCTGAATTGGCAGCTGCAGGTGGGTGGAAGTACATAAGCTGTACATAAGCTGACTCCCCTGCACCCTGGGCGAAAGGGACATCAGAGAGAGAGAGGACATTCTTGAGAAAGGCAGGAAAAGTCCAAAAGGATAGCACTCAAGGTCTGGGGGGCAATCCATTATCAGACCAGGGCAAGGGTGGGCTTAGCCACAGGTTCTAGCATTCAGCCCTGGGGATTCCCAGCAGATCCCTGCTCTTCAGTGAAGTCCACTGCTGTATCTGCAGAGAACTGCTCTGCTTCCGACATTCACTGCTTAATTTACCAGCATGATACTAGTGCCAGTGCCCACTCTTGCCAAAGTCACTGACCAGGATACATTAATGGAGGGAGAGACCCAGGCTGCACCCAGCAGAGCTGACTCAGGGGCTGTAGGACCAATCCACTCTGCAGGGGACAAGATGCACCTACTGGGGAGTGGGGGTGGGGGTTATCCAGTTCTGCCCAGCAGATCTAATTTCAGCTGAAATTGGCACCTCCTCTGCAGCTTTGTGCGGGCACACTAAGAGGGATCTGCTTGGCCAGCCAGAAGCAGCTGCTGAATCCCCCACTGCAGGAGCAGCAGCAGGGCAGGGTGCTGAATTAATGCAAGGCAGAGGGAGGGGTGGCCTGGAGAAAGGGGATCCGTGCCCCCTGCTCAGTATTCCCACATGAATTCACATCATGTCTGGCCTTTGCTTCAGACAAAGAAGGGAAGAGGGGGGTCTCCTCTCGTCCACTACCTAAGCCCCCACTCCCCTGCTATCTAGGAGGAAGAGTCAAAGCTAGCCTGCAGGAAAATAACCCTGGGTTGATAGCTCGACCCCACCCCCTGCACCCCTCTTCTCCAATGATTCCCGCTTCAACCGCCATGCAGGCCAGCCCTTGGGAGCGCATGTGAAGAGGGTGACTCGTCATCAGGTGTCCTCTGCCCCCCACCCGCCCGACCTGTCGGAGCTCGGAAACCTGCCTCACCACCACCCCCACCACCCCACCACCCCCGCGGTACTTACCCAGCGGGAAGAGCAGCAGCAGCCGCAGCGCCGGGTTTGCGGGGCTCATCCTCAAGGACGGCGGGGCGCGGGGCTCAGCAGTTGGATAGGGCGAAGGTCAAGTGCCCGTCCGTCCGTCCGGAGCACTCATCGTCCTTGGGCAGCGGCGGGGTTTGGCTCCAAGATGGCCGGTTGGAGGGGCGGCGGCCACTGTTGTTGCCGCCGCCACCACTACCAAAAATCGGGGGACAGAAAAATTCTTTGGTTGGTGGATAGCAAAGAAGGATTCGGGAGGGCGGGAAAGGGCTGTGACTAAGAACAAGCGTGGGGGTGGTCCTCGACGCGATCCTCCCGCGGACCGCAGCTCTTCTGGCTCAGTTGCTGATTCCCGGAGAAGGGCAGGCGGGAAACGTCGCAGCTCCTGGGGCTGGGGTCAGCGCGTTGGCCGCAGTTGCTTGCAGAGGTTTGGGCTGGAGCTGTGCGTGCGTGCGAGGGGAGGGGGAACGTTCTCCTTCGTTGGGCTTCGTCTGAATGGGCTATTCTCCCCCTTCCCCTCTTCTAGAACCATTGCATATAATCCAAGGATTATACAGTAGCCACCTCCAAGTAGCGGCTCCTACGGTTACCATGGAAAGAGTGGTGGGTGTAATTTCTCGCGCACACCGAGAGAAGGCCCCGAGCCCCTTTGCGCCGCGCGTCCAGTTCAAAAGCAGCCGCGAGCGCCGTTGCTCCTGCTAGCAAACTTGAGCGGGTGGAGACGTGAAACAAGAGGTTGCAACGGGGTGTCTGCCAAGGCTCTGGCGGGGGGGGGGCTGCCCCCTCCGCTCTCGGCCGCCTGCAGCGCGGCGGACTGGGCTGCGCCCTCGGGAGGCGCGGGGCGGGGCGGGGCGGCGGGCGGGGGCTCCTCTCTGCCCCGGGTTCGCTTCTTTTAAGGCCCGGGGGTGTCACCGCCGCCGGAGCAGTTGGGCTCTGCGGCGGCTCAGCCTCTGCCGCGTCGCTGTCCGTTGTCCTGCAGGAGCCGCTCGGCGTTTTCCCTCCCGCTCTGGACTCCTGCAGGACTCGGCAGAAACGGCATCGGGGCGGCCGGGGCGGAGGGCGACGCTCCCGGCGGAGAAAAGATGAGGCCCGAGATGGGATCGTCCCCGGCTGGAGCCGGGCGAACGTCCTGCTCTGCCTGCAGACCCGTGCAAGGATGGACGCGGCTTCTTGCTGGGTTTCCAAAGCTCACGGTGCTCCCTGTTGACACCCGAGGCGAGACCCCGAAGAAGACCCCCTCGGGTCTCTCAGAGGGAGAAGAAGCGCGGCCGGTCCGAGTCCTGGCTTACTTTTCTTCCAATTCCAGAGGTAGGTAGCCAACAACAGCACCTCCACAGCAGCTCCTTTGCTAAGGGCGGGTGCTGGTCTGTGGTGTGGGCCACTGAACGTCAAGACAGACTCACCAAGTTGGACGGGATCTAGCCCTCCACTCCGTATCCGACAGAACAAGAAAAAAAAAGTCAACAGATGCTCAGGGCTGCATCCAGGCTGGAAAGGGCACAGATAATTCTTTTCACTCAGGATTTCCTGGAAGTGCTGCCAGATCACCTTATCAACAGTTTTCCCTAGAAAGTCAGAGATTAGCCAAAAGTTGTTCCCTTTGGCTGGATCAAGTGTGGCCTGTTAAGGAGGCAGAAATCCAGGGGGCCGTCCATCCCCACCCTCATTGTAAAGGACTGAACTGAATCCTTCCTCCCTTCACTGGCAGTTCCACAAGATGGGAGAGGCAAGGAACCAGCCCACATATGCTGGAGATCATCACGTACACACAAACACACAGTTTACAAGTTCAGATAAACTCCAGATCAGCTTGCAAGGCTCGCATCATCTCCTTGGAATCCAGAGTGCCAGCATCTGATTCCAAGCAGCTCCTCAACAAGAAATGTGTGTCCTTAAACAAGGCCAAAGACATGCTCAGTCGGTGCCCTGCTGTCATGGCATAGAGCCAACAATCATGTGCTTGGCTTCCACCAGGATCCTTCCAGGCATCTCTCTAGTGTTTCATTGCCTGGAATCCACAGGCAGGGAGGGCTGGTCAGAATAAGCTGCCAGGGCGTTCACTGCCTTTGGAACAGAAGGTCAAACTGGCATCTTAAGAAACTGCCCACCAGGTTGCTGGAACATCTCCAAAAACCAGGAATAGAACTGTTGATTTTCTCAAAGGCCAAGTGAACTACAATCATTTTTCATCCAAATAAGAGCCACAGAAGAAAACTGTGGCCAGGCACATTATTACCTAACACATTTAGCATACAGTTATTGTAACTGAACCTAAATACTGTTCCAATGGCTCTGAGTAAATTCCAGAACTTCAGCCCCATAGCAGCTCTGAGCTTGCATAGAACTTAAATTCTCACTGAGGCGGCACAGAATATCCACAGTGTTGCAACCAGAGCCCAGCAGAGAGTCTTGTCCCTCCATATTAAGGCAGGGGACCTTCACCCTCCCTCCTATTGCATCATCCCATGGAAAGTGTCTTTCCCCTCATTAAACCACCTTCTGCTCTCTAGGGAGCCCCTCTAACAGGACAGCTTATTCTACTCACTCCTGATTTCAAGAACTGACTTGCATCTTCTCTCCCCTCCTCATGTTAGGAGCAACCAGTTCTGCCCCTCAGTCATTCTTTAGCACTCCTTTGGTAGCCAGGTTTGCATAAGTGGCCTGATCTGGGAGATTCCAAGGGCAGACCTGGTTGAGGCAGGAACATTCAGAGTTGATGATAATGATGGTCATCGTCATCGTCATCAGCAGCAGCACTTAAAAGCCTGGGGGATTCAGAAGTGATTCTAACAAGGCCAGGTACCATTGGCCCTGCCCCCTGAGCCAGAGAGATGCCCTAGCTGGCCCCTCCCTTAATGGAGAGGAGAAGAACAGTCAGGGCTCCTGGACAGCAAAATACCACTTCTCTCGGTGGTACACGGGGAAGATTGTTGCTTTCCTTCATTATCTGCAAGGATTTGTGGCATTTGGCTGGCAGCAGGATCCTGGTCCTTCATCCTTCTGGGCTGAAAGATTATTCAATCTTCAGCAGTACCCACAGCAGTCCACTTAGACACTATCCAAAACCAAATGCAGGGAAGGCAGGCATATATTTTCCCCAATTCCTCCCCTACTCCCCCCCCCCCAATTAATGGTAGACCAGTTCTGGTCAAACCAAAAAGACAAAGAATAGATGGAGTTGGCACAAGGCATTTATTGGTTGCAGAAGAAAGGGTTTTCTGCAAAGGAAAGCTGACCAAGAAAGAAAAGAAAGGGAGGGGGGATCTGCAGGTGAAGACCCTAAGGCCAGCATTCCCAACTATGAGAATTGGGGACAGTTTGAACATTGACCTTCAGCTGGTTCATGCGCACTTCCACATTAAGGCCACAATACTCAGCTTAACAAGACCAGCTGGAGACAGAAGAGGCTTGGCCCTCTTTCCACAGGAGGCTCAGTTCCAGAAAGATACAGAGGGGCCTTGCAGCCACTGTAGATATGTGCTTGTATCCAGCAATGGCCACACTGAAGTGGCCAACATTTACTGAAGAGCTCTATCCTGTGTCTCTACATTAGCCTCCATCCTCTTCACCTTCTCTTCTGGTTGTGAGCTCAAACTACATGGGTGGTTTCTCAGGACAGAAAGATCCTAGAGAGGAACTGGGGCTGTACTCACATTTCACGAGCCAGAAGCTCAGGAAGCAGAAGCAGAAGCCCAAGAGCCTGGCTGCCACTGCCCCCTCTTCAAAGCCTATTCACAGGGCAAGAGAAAGCCAAGAAAAGAGAAAATATCAAATCAGGATCATTCCTAGAATGGAATGAAATCTGGCCATTCATTGGAGACTTCCTGAGCTGGATCTCGGTGATGGCGCTGCAAAAGGGACTCCTGCTCCCTCTGCCAGTGTCAGTACGGTTCCTCCTCATCGGTGTCCTGAACCGGAGGCAAGGAATAGCAGTCAAGAAGGGAGCCGAGATGACCCAGGTGCCCTTCGCTCAGCTCAGTGCTGCTGGCTCAGGCCCAAGAGGTTGTCTTGGGGATGAAGATCCCAGCAAGAAAACCACCCCTCTCCCCCAAATAATGTGAGCAACCTGCAGGTCTCCCCTACCAGCATTCAGTTCACACAGGCACAACAAACCCAAGCAATGGCAGGTGGGCTCACCCCTCTTGCCAGCAATCGGCATGATGCCCAAGATTTGATGGGCAAGAAATGCCGCTCGAACTAAGACCCATTAAGAGTTCAGCCCTGTTTTACATCACTGGAAGTGGCAGCTGTGACTCTTCCTGACACTGGCAAATCTCAGAGTGAAGCTTCGCATAAGGAAGTCGTCTTTTGTTGTTCTGAATCTGAGGGATGCCTCTCACTGATTACAGGTAGTCCTCTACTCATAACAGTTCATTTAGTGACCATTCAAAGTTACAATGGCACTGAAAAAAGCGACTTATGATCATTTTTCTCACTTATGATCATTGCAACCTGCCCCTGGTCATACGATCAAAATTCGGATGCTTGGCAACCAGTTCCTATTTAGGACGGTCGAGGCGTCCTGGGTCATTGATCCCCTTTTGCAACTTTCTGACCAACAAAGTCAATGGGGAAGCCGGGTTCAATTAACAACCATGTCACTAGCTTAACTGCAGTGATTCACTTGAACAGCTGTGGCAAGGAAGGTCGTAAAATGGGGCAAAATTCAATTAACAAATGTCTTGCTTAGCAACAGAATTTTTGGGCTCAACTGTGGTCGTGAGTCAAGGACTCTCTATAAATCTACCCCATCAGGTCTGGCAGGTCCCATCTGGAAGGAGAGCCTTCTCTGCTGTGGCCCCCGCCCCATGCAGCACCCTCCCCCTCCCCAGCTGTGGCTAGCTCTGGGGGGGGGAGGCTCCCCCACAGGGGATCTGGCCTATTGGCAGCATCACATTCTGATGCATTCCCTCATGATCTCACTCTTATTTACATTTAAGTGGGTTTTATGAAATATTTCAACTGTTGGTTTTATAGTACGTGAACTAGAGTTAACTTGTGTGATAAAGGCAGCTATATGCATTTGATTGATTAATAAACGATAAAAAAAATCTTCTATGCTCATAGATAGTCTTCACTTAATCCCCTAACTGGCAACTCTGCAACTAAACAAACACATGGCTAAATAGATTGCTTTCTGGCAAGACTAGTAGGTTTCCCATTTTCTGCTTTGTTTGCCCCCTTTGGAATGCTCTTTTACCAATGGAAACCAGTGCAAGGGTACTGGCGGCCCAGGGCTGGGAGCCACAGGTGTGGTGCATAGTTTAGGGCATTCTTTTGATATTTCTTCCCCTCCGCTCAGTGGAGGGAAGAGGAGGGAAAAAAACAAGCAATTTCTGTAAGGAATCTCTTCTTCTCTGACCCCTTCCCTCTGCCAATTGGATTTCATTGCTTTCAATGTGTAGAAGAGCAAATAGCTTACTCTCTTGTAATCCCATCCTCTCCAAACCACAAGGAAGAGGGAGGGGGAAACCACAGTTCACACACAGGTTGTGTACGGAACACAATGGAAGTCACATGACAGGGATTCTGTGAAGGTCATTGATGATTATAAATTGAGTGTAAAGTTATTTTTTCTGCACCATCACAACTTCGAACAGTTGCTGAATGAGCAGTTGGTAAACAAGGATTATGTATGATCCGAAGTTACAATATCTGCTGGGAGACGAACTTTTCTCTGTTGACATTTTCTACACTGCCAATAAATTCACTATCTCCAGCAGGTCTCCCAACTACAGAGCCTTGTTGCATCTCCTATAACCTCCTACTTATTCTGTTTGAGACACCTTTTTGAGCTCAGCAATCCTCCAGGGCATTCTGAGGGCAGTCTAACCACTCGGCAATGAGCAGCCATCAGTGTCTGCTGATGCAAGCAGGGATAAGGCTGAACTTCTGCTGCCTTCCCAGTGAGATAATGCAGGAATTAGTGTCTCCATAACATATAAATGCAAAAGATTTCTCTCTTAATAGCCTTCTGGCTTACCAGGCACTGCAAACAACAGCTAACCAGCCGCTCTCTACAGCCACTTTGCTCAGGTCTATGGAAAAAGGGCAGAGAAGAAACTAGCCCAATAACCAGCCCAATCATTTGCCCCTCTGCTCCCACCACCTTTGAGTATCAGCCTCTCCTTCCTAGCTGCCACTTGCCCTGGGGGGTAGCAGAGGGAAGGCCATTTTTAACTCTCTTTAAGAGGCACTGGGGGCCATCCCAGCCCCTCTTCTAAACCTCCTCCTCCTCTGCCAATCCTCCCTTCCTACCCCTCCCCCTTCCCCGTCATTCTTACTCTTCAGAGACTTCAATGGAAGACTTCTTGTAACCAGGCTGTCTCCTAGCTTTCATCAGCCCAGATTTCTGATTCATCCGGACCAGCAGCAGAATCACCACAATGCCAGAGGGAAGAAAGACCAGGATGGAAAACAGTCCCGATGAGGTCAGCTGGAAGGAGGCACCTTTGGAAACAGAGCAGGATGGGGCAGGCGGAGCAAAACTCCCTTCAGCCATCTACATGAGTCTACAAGGGTCCCCCAGGTCCACCCCCAGCACAAATGCCAATGTTAGGGATTAGCACAGTCTCCTCTGCTACCCAAGGCACTCCAGAATGGAAGACACTGGGCAGGGCAGACAGAAGGACCACCACTTCGAGCCAAGAGGAGCAGGATTCCAGGAAGCAGCTGGCAGTGGCAACCCAGGGCCTGCAGGACAGTCCCCCTCCTGTCCTGGGCACTGGAGTCTCTGCCTTACCTCTCTGAGTGACTGTGAGCAGGGTTTGGGGAATGTTGTGCTGCACATCAGGGGGGTTCTTCACAGAACAGGTGAATGTCCCGTTATCCTCCAGGGTTGGGTTCCAAATCATAATTGAGGCATCCTGCTTGGCCACATCACCAGCCCAAGAAACTCTATCCCGGAAGCTGCCTCTCTTGGCTGGGTAGGCACTGGACTGGTAGTGGAAGACCTGGGGGAGGAGAGGAGAGGGGAGGGGAGGGTGAACCATCCCAGACCAGAAGACCCAACAGCAGCCAGCTCCCCCAGAGAGACGGGGCCACCAGGCTATAGGCCTCCTTTCATCTGCCCTCGCGGCACGGCACCACTTCAGGGCCATCAGAGCACCGGAAGCGGGGACCTCCGCAGCTCACCGGCTCCAAGTTGCCCCCTGCAAGAGGCCGATAGGTCCAGTCGACGGTGAGCTTCTCTGTGACCGGAGCGGAGGATTTGAACCAGCACTTCAGGGTCACCGGCTCGCCCACAAACGCGCGAACTTGGGCAGCGGCCTGGATCTCCAGCAGGTGGACTCTGGCAGCCGCTGCAAGCACAGCCGCAGCGCAGCTCAGTCGCCCGGTCGCAGCGGCCCACGGCCCGGCGGGAGGAGGGCGCTTTCCGCCCCCCTTCCGCCTCCTGTCTGGCACGGGAGCCCGTCGGGCGGGAAAGCAGACCGCCGCGGCGACGCTTGTGGGGCCCGTCCCGGGAGCGCCCGACGCCTCCTTCCCGGGCCCGCCGCCCTCCTGGCCTCCGCCCCCGCCCCGCCGACCCCCACCGCGCGGCAGCCCCGCTCACCCAAGAGGAGCAGAGGCAGCGCGGCCGCTCCGACGGGCTTCCTCCGCGCCAGCCCCATCTTTCCGGGACCGGTCGCACCTGCCCGTCCGGCGGGCCGGCCGGCGAAGCCGGAAGAGGCGGGCCCTGCTCCGCGGCGCTCTGCCAGCGCTGGGAAGAGGGGCGCCCCGTGTTTCCCCCGCCGCGCTGGTCTTCGGAATCCGGGGTGCTCGCCCCCCCCGGGGAAGGTTTGGGGGGCACCGGCAGATCTCGAGCGGACCTGGGCAGGAAGTGGAAAGGGAGCAGGGACCCCTTTGAGTGAGGCGAGACGAGAACTCTGGCACCGGTCAAGGCGCTTTTGCCGCTTTTCGATCTCCTTCAGGGGCGAAGTTGAATTTAATAAAAGAGGCCGGGCGGGGGGGGGGCTGCCCTGATGCTCGGAAGCTTCCAGATAGTAATTGCTGGACCAATAGCAGCATTCCGAATCCGTCTGTGCGGATTAAAGATGGGATCCGATGCAAGAAATAAAAATATGGCAAATCCCGAAGGACAGTCTTAGTCTGTATTGTGTATTTGCCTTAACCTTGGTTTGCTGCATCGGCCGCAGGGCACCAGCAGTCCCCCCCCCAAGGACTCGCTAGACCTGAACCGAACAGCTCCTATTAATGCAACAGCCCAGTCCAGCCACGACTTCCCAAGTAATCACCTCACATCCCCTGACCAAGAAAAGAAGAATTTTAGAACAGGAATTGGTCTGTGCAAAAATGTGTGATATGATTTCATCATGGAGGTGAAATTATATTGTCAGTATGACACTAGTAGCCACATGTGCAAAAGAGGCCCCAGTGGCCATTTTTGGTCCTCCATCAAGATGGTCTGCAGCGAAGGAGTTCTCCAAGGTGGAGCAGGCTGTGTTTGGCCAGAGCGCCCTTCCCAGCCCAAGCTGCTTCAGCTGCCATCCCAGGGCCTTGAATGCGCCCACTTAGATCTTCTCCAGAGGCCATCATGATCATTCTGCAGGTCTCTTAGGGCTTAGGCAGTATTGTCAAGTCCTCCCTCCCTCCCACTGCTGGAGACTCCACACTACTTCCCTGTGAGCTGCCCCCCCCTCCTCTGCTCTTAGCTGCCCCTCTCCCCAAGGCCATCTATGTCTCCCCTTGCTCCTCCTGGGCCTCTGGGCAATGACTTCTTTTTGTGCTCCCTTGCAGGATTGTGGTTTGCAGTATCCACACTTCTAGGGCCCCCTGACTTTAAAGATTGTGCAATTGATCTGGATGGGGTGCCATACTACATTCCATTAAGCTAGATGACAGTCACTTTTAAACACAGGCAATTGTACCTTTATTATAAAATATTCCATTTGCATACAAAATTTAACAAGACTCTTTAAATAAATTAGTGTATGAAAGAGTGTCACCTAAGGATATGAAAGGTGGCCCAGAAGAAACCCAGCGGACAATCCTCTAATATCTGAAGCTGATGAGTTTTAGAGGTAGTTGTTGGTAGGGCTGCTGTAGTGCTGTTGCATAAAAGAGGATCAGTGGTCAGAGATTTTTATTTTATTTTATTTTATTGTCCACAGCTCTTAAATCCTTCTGAAGGAGAAAGCAAACTCTGGTTTTAAGGAAGAGATTTGTGCTGCCAGCCTGGGCTGGGGGGTTGCAAAGGAGACAGAATTGCATCCAGCAGGAACAGCCCCACTCTGGCTGGTTCCTCACTCCTTTTCAGAGATCCTCTGCCTGCATAGAATCAGGCTACTCCAGGCTGGGGCAAGCCATAGAAACGGGCTTGGTCCTACTTGAAGAAGAGGCCCTTTTCTAAGTAGTTGGGGGCTCCCCCTTAGCCATTTGCCTGGCCTTTGGCCCAGGAAAGAAAGCAGAACAGTGGGCAAAGTGGTTCCCCATTGCCCTCCCCTCAAGCTTGGCCTGGCTAGTCTGTCTTGACCAGACCGTTTTCTGCTGACACCAACTAGGTGGCCAGTGGCCCTGAGGTCTTCAGTCACTGAGTCAAAGGCAATCTGTACTCAAGGTGGGCAGGGGAGGGCTGCTGCTTCAGGCATATAGAGAAGGCTGGTTAGGCAGACCTTTGGTGTCATGAGGGCAGTAGGTGAAGTTTTGGCTCCTGCAGGTCCTTTGGTGTCATGAGGGCAGTAGGTGAAGTTTTGGCTCCTGCAGGCCCTCTAGGTGCAGGAGGTCTCCTTCAAGGCCAGGAGCCTTTGCCATCTCAGCTCCAGCAGGGCACAGCATCCATGGGTGGATCTGGGAGAGAAAAGCACACAAGGAGTAATTGTGGGTGCAGTTCCCAGCGGAGGTGCTGGGCCAGGCCTCCAACTGTGAGGAAGCTTGAGGCTAGACTGGCAGGTGTGGCAATAGCCCCTCCATCCCTGGTCTCTCTTGGAGAGGGGAAACTTCAGCCTCCCACCTTGGTCCTGGAGTAGCTGGTAACAGCTCCTGCCCAGTGCCAGTCAAGCCCCTCCAGCCCCAGCATCCTTACCAAGACCGATGGATCCCCCGTCCCCACAGAGGGGTCTACTTTTCCTCTCTGCCTTCCTTCAGCTTCAGTTGCTCTGACCTATTTGGGAAGAAAGGAAGGGCAGTAACTACAGGGCAGGAGGCAGAAAAGCGATTGCTTCATGAGATGGGGCAGGAGGCAGGGGGGAGATGGGGCAGGAGAGCTGGGTAAGCCACCGCTGGCTTGGGTTGCATTCAGGGGTGTTGGTGGAAGGGTGTTCTGGCTCCTTATTCCTGGTGAGGGGCTGCAAAATCACTGCTGAGTCCAGCCACATCTGCCTTTTACCACCAAGCCTTCCAGGGGAGGCAAGAGGGTCTTTTTTCTTGGGTTCCAGGTGCAGGAAGCAGAGGGAGGAGGTGCCATGCCATGAATATTTGAATCAAATTTTGCACTGTACATGTAAAGCACCCACAGGGTTGATCTGTAATTAGCTGTTTCCCTCCTGTATGTAGGGAGAGGCAATTAAAAGAAATCTCCTGTGTACAGTCTGATTAGCCCACTTCAGTCTCTTGAGCAGCCTCAACTGGAGCTTGCAGGGCTTTCCATGGCTTCTGGATTCTGATGGGTGAATTCAGACCATGCCAGCTCCTCCTCACTGAAGCCCCATTTCCACCCACCTGCACAGGTCCTCTACCACAAAAGACTGCCACCCAGGAGGTTAGTCCCTCCCTGCCAACTCACCTCCCCACCTCCCTTGTCTTGTCTTGCTGCATCCTCCGCCAATGACGCCAGATCACCACAACCACCACAAGGATGAACATTGCAGCACAGGAAATGCCAATGGTGAGGACCAAAATATGCACCTCTGAGAAGCTCACTATCCAGAGACAACAGAGGCTGGTGAGGAAGAGAAACACAAGCACAGCAACCCCAGCCACCCAGCCCACTCACTTTTCAGCACAACACTCAGCTGGATCTCGCCAATGACACCATCCACATCAGGTGGGTTCTTCACATGGCACTGGAAAGTCCCGTTGTCCTTGGGGCTCACATTGTGGAGCATAACTGAAGCATCGTTTTTGTGTACATTGCCATCCCAGGTGAGTCTGCCTAGGAAGCGGCCTGATTTGGAGGGGTAAGCCCAGTGATTGTAGTAGAGCACCTGAGCACAGCCAAGAGAGCACCAGCAGTGGTGTTAGGTGGCTCCTGGTCTTTGGTTAGCAGCACATCCTGCACCTGAGTCCTGGGAATTTCACAGATCATTTCTCTCACTGCTTTGTGAAAGGACTCTGGTGAGCTACGGGGAAGGGAAGGAGCCTGCCCAATGGCCATGGCACAGAACTTGCTGCAGAGAAGGGAGGATGCCCAGCAGCCAGGAAAAGGCCCTCAACTGGGGAAGCTGCCCCAGAGCTCTGGAAGAGAGCCATCCAGGCCAGCCTGCAGGGAGGGTGCCTGGGGCTTGGGGCACTCCATGCCCTTTCTCTCGGGGCAGTTGTCTCTGCTTGAGTGGACAGGCAGGAGAGACGGGGCCAAGGCTCCAGCAAATGGGCCCTGAATTCCTTCTGAGCTGGGAGGGGAGGCCCTGCCTGAGCCAACTTCTCCCTCCCCCTTGGCTCAGGGAAGCACAGGCCACTCTGCCAAAGGCTTCCAGAGGAGGGGGAGGAACACCGTCTTTACGCCATAGGCGCCTAGACCCAAGCCCCCAGCCCACCCGCTGACCCTTCGCAGCCTCTCTGCCCCACCGTACTGCAATGGGACTGACCGACTCCAGGGGCTCCTTCAGCTCGGACTGGAAGTACCAGGAAACCGTCAGCTTCGGCCCCACCGGCACTGGACTGCGGAAGGTGCACTTCAAGCGCACGTCGGTCCCGTTCAACACTTCCAGGGTGCCAGGGGTGAACATTTCCACAGCTGCCACCGGCTCGAGCGCTGCAGAAAGAAGCAGAAGGGGAATGCCGTTGCAGGGCCTGAAGGCACCTGGGAGAAGGAAGGGCAGAGCGCCGCCGCTTCCTGGAGGTGGGCGCTGCCCAATTTGCGCGGAGTGATCCAGGGCGAATTCCGCAGAGGGGAAGGGAGCTGCTGAACAGGTCGCTGTTCCGACGTGCAGGAACTCGTCTGCCGGGTGACGCCGTCACCGCCCAGTGTAGCGCTCAGCTGGGGGTGCCTGCCCTGGGCTCTACGCAGGAGCGAGGCCCGGCGTGGCGGCGGGGTCCGCAACCGCTGTAGGGGCCGGCCTAGAGGCGGCGACTCCGGAGGAGCCAAGCCCGCGCCTTCTGCCTTCGACGAGGTCGGGGTCAGGGTCCGGAAGGAGACGGCCCAGCCGGGGCTCCACCGCTGCTCTCCCCAGCGAGCCCGTGCCTTCCATCACCTCCCCGGGCGGGTAAGCTTATCTTACCGAGCAGAAAGAAGCCCCAGGCCGCGAGCCGCGATGCCGGGGGGGCCATGAGCTCCTGCCTCTGCGGGATCCTGCCAGCCGCTCCGCCCAAATGCCTCCCAAACCTGGAATGAGCCAGGCGCGTCCTGCACGGATTGGGAGCCTCCCACGGGCCGCCCCAGGAAGGCTTCGCCCGGCCCCGCGCCGCCGCCCCCTTCTTCGAGGCGAGCGGTGCTGCCCGCGACCGATCGGCTCCTCGCTAGCGCGGTCGTTCTGTAGATCCCGCGCGCCGGACCGAGGCGGAGACGTCCTCTCCTAGGAGCTGTGCCCGGCGCTCTTTCCACAGGACCCTCACTCGTTCTATCACTGTCCCGGGATTTGCGGAAAACCTTAGAATTGTCAGGGACTATCGAAATAAAAGGAGATTCTTGCCAGGATAACCAGCACCCACAAAGGGTAGAGCCAAGCCTGGCCCAGGACACCATCAACAGCCTCCGCAGGGAAGGGGAACCCACCCCGGTACCTCCACCTAGCCTGGGGTGAGGGGGCTGGAGGGAGCCACCATCCCTTAAGCCTTTTTGCCAGAATTAACATTAATGGCCAGGGGATTAACTGCCCAAGAGCCACCATTCTACTCTCCCCCTTCCATGTCCATTCCCCACCATCCAATCAGAGCTGAAGCAACTTTTTGGATGAGAAGTGAAATGTCTTCAAATAAGAACAAGAAAATTCAGTTGCCTCTTGAAAAAGCACCTTTGGAACAACCAGGACCTGGATGACTGAGAATCTCCATAGATGTGATAATGTAATGTAATGTAATGTAATGTAATGTAATGCTATTCATTGTTTTTGACCAGTCTACCTTATCAAGAAAGAGGAGGAGAAGGGCAGTAGAGGAGAACGCCTCCTCCCACCCTTGGAAGCCCAGGAGGGAGCCCAACATAGCAGACCCAAAGGGCAGTCCTGGGGACCAGTCCCTGAGCCTGCAGATCCAGCTGGCCAAGTGCACCCCTTGCAGCATCAGGGCTCAGCTGCAGTCTATTATTCCTTTCCACAGAAAAATAACATTGATTGGTTTATACTTTTGTTAATTTTTTACTGTCACAGTCCCACTGGACACTTGACCCAGAGCAACATAAAACACAGAATAAAAATAACAAAGCAAGAGTGTACAATTCAAAATATCAACTGTTGTGGAAAATTATTGAAGGTTCACAACGCTAGGGAGAAGAAAAGTGTTTATTGCAAGGATGGTTGAATGTCTGTGTCACAAGAAAGGGGCCCCCCAAACTAGGGGAAAGCCAAGATTTGTGTATAGGGCTACAAGGCAGGAAGGGATCTTATTGGCTGGCCATTTGGGGGCACCTGGGTGAGTCCTTATTCTGGAATGGAGATGGCCATAATCCAGATAGAATAACTCCACGGAATGGTAACATGCAGAATATTTATTTATTTATGTATTTATTAATCAAATTTTTATTAATTTTTTAAATAAACAAATAGATACAATTATGGCATACATTAATAATAAAAAAAACCATAAAAACCTCATATTCCAAGATGCTCAGCAGCCTCCCAAGACCACATTCACCCTCTCTTAACCTACCTACTTACTTCCCTCCTCCTCTTTCCTTCTTCCTCTCCACCCTCTCAACAACTCTACCCTACACATCCCCCCTCCTTCTCTCCTCCTCTTTCAGATGTGGTCTTGGAGGTCGACCGAGCCTCCTTTCTTCAATAAATGCATTATATCTTACTACCATTCTAGTATACCAAAATATAACTATACATAAGAGATCCCTTTCCCCCCTCCCCCCCTGGACTTCCCAGAACCAAATACAGGATTAAAACACATCCCATTCCATATCTAAATTACAATTTAACTAAACAAACATAATACAATCAATATTTACATACTTTAACTCTAATCTAAAACAATAAGTAAAAACAATATATCTACTCAAAAACTATATGATATTTATTCATTCCATACTTTCTCTAAATATAATCTATCCACCTCCAACATTTAAGCTGTAAGCTAAAATACATACAAGACAATTTTTAAAGATCTAAATATTATCTATAAAACATCTTATATAAATTTTCTCTTAAATTTTACACTTAAGTTTTTCCTTCACTTTCTTCACTCTTAAGTCAATACTTTCGAAGAAATCTTCTTATCTTTCATTGGATCAGCAACAACATTCCAGTCTCCAAACATAATAACCGATTTATAATCCAATTAGGTTGTTTTCTTATGCAAAAACCTATAAAATTGTTTTTGTTGTTGTTGCTGATATAGCACATATAAACCCATGCCTCCTTCTTCAAAGCTGGAGAAATAAGATAAAATCCCAATCTTAAATTATCCTTTTTATATTATTTCAAATATTAAAATAATTTCTTCCTTTTCTGTGGTAAAGTCAAACCATTCATGTTCTGGATCACATAGATCCATGTAACCTCTTATAGCTCTATGCAGCCTAACTCTATGTAACCCTAACGTTAGTAACAGGTCAGGGGGAGGAGTTTCCAAAGGTCATTGGGATACTCCTGGACTCTAGCCACATGGGATTGCCTTTGTTCATTCAGCCCATGGCCTCCAGCTACACGGTTGGAGATCTCATGGGCACGCCAACATGTGACATTTAAGAAGGAGAAGAGGGGAAAATCTAATGTCAATTTACCTGTGGGACAATCAAATTGCAGAAACCTATTTTGGATGCACCTCTACAAACTGTAAGTCATTGTTTAGGATTCCCAGAATAAAGCAATATTTTCTGTTTGTTCTTCTGAGTTATCTATCTGTTCCAGATTGGAATAAAGCAACATCTCCTGTTTAGAACAGAATAGTAAATTGACAGATGTTAATTCTCCTCTGATCTCCAGCAATAGTAAATTTATGGGGTTAATTCTCCTCTGATCTCATGCACCAGTAAATTTGGATGGGACTAATCTTCCTCTGATCTGCAAATTTAAAGAAGTAAAGTAAAGACTCTCTTGCATGTGAAAGTAACTTGACGTGACTGAAGGTGTGATTCAGATGCATTGTATTGTTAATTTGCTGGTAAAGTCTGCAAGCCAGTATTTTAAAACAGCAACAAAAAACTCTTTGCGTGTGAAGGCTGCATTTCTGAAATCAATCTCTTTGCCAGCAACTTCAAACAGCTTGGGGAAATGCGAGAAGTGTTTTAGAGGACTGTCTGTGGAGTTATCTCCGTTTGCAGAGAACTGTTTAAAACTGCCTTTAAAGTTCAGGAAGAGGCTGGGAAGGGGCAACCCCCCCCCCTTGTTATACACTCTTCACTGCTTGAAAGATTGAAGCCTGTCTCCCACCCTGTCTAATGCAAATCAATGATTTGAAACTTGAGTGTTTAAAGTCTTTATGCCTAAAGAGTAACAAAGTAACAACACGTCTGCTTCTTCTTCATGAGTTTGCTAGCCAAGAAGGTAGCAGAGAGGGGCCCCTTCCAGAGCAATAAAAATTCTCCCGTCCCTTTGTTCACTTACCTTAGCAACTGGTCGCTAAGGAAAGCAATTAAGTCATTAAGCTGCTCTCTCTCCGTCATAAAACCACAGCTCTGGCAAAGAGGCCAAACTCCCCCCTCCCTTTGGAATTTCAACTATGCCAATAGAAGGTATACAGAGGCACCAATAGCAGGGCAGTAGTGCCCCCTGGTGGACAATCTGCACGTGACACCTTGAAAAAAAATTTTTTCTCACATCACAACAACTTGATAATTTAATTCAGCACATAGCAGGCTTACATAAAGCCTAGCCTATGCACCCACTAAAAGGGCTTTCACCCACTCAAGCTGAAGACCCAAGTTCTTCCAGTTTGAGTGACTAAGGGGAAGGAGAAAGCAGAGCAAACCATCCTTGCCTATTATCACAAACTGAAGACCCAGTGTTCCAGCCTGCAACTTAACGACCAGGTGGGAGTTTATGCCTCTCAGTGGCCATTAGCAGGAACGTGGTAATAGGAAGAATTTGGCTGACCTCTCTTCAGACGTCCCCTAGTGGTTAAAGGAGGAGCTACACGCGAGCCTTTAATCACGCCCAGAGAAAGCCCTCTAGTGGACAAAGGGTGTACCTCGAAAGAAGATCACCCCGGTAGCTGATACGCAGAAAGCGACCCCTAGTGGTCAAAAAGTAAAGTTCATCCAATTTGCTTCTAAATAGCTAGGAACCACAGGAGAACGCGCCCAGTGGTACCTCCACCCACAGACAGCACCTCTGACGCTGATCTGCAAGTAGCGACCCCTAGTGGTCAAAAATAGTTCATCTAATTTGCTTCTAAACAGCTAGGAACCACAGGAGAACGCTCCCAGCGGCCACTCCACCCACAAACAGCACCTCTGAAGCTGACCTGCAAGTACCGACCCCTAGTGGTCAAAGAGAGAAGTTCTTCAAATTTGCTTCAAAATAGCTGAGAAGAACACTGAACCTATCCTAACCATGGCGGAGTGTCCCGCTGATTTAGATGCAGGGGTTCAACCAACCAGCCTAGTTGGGACACCCCAACCAGACGGCCATGGAGAAGCGCTGCAAACAGCCCCCCTTGACCTGTACACAGAAGCTGAAGCTCAAGCTTCAGTAAGGTCAAAGACGTCTCAGAGTCACTATGATCTGAGAC